TGTTACCACATAAAGTCTCCAGACCTGATTTTTGCATCTACTCCTTCAAGGTTCCTTTTAGAATACACTGCACACACCTTGGGCTGAATCTCCATAATTCTTAGCAAGGGGAAAAAAATAAAGGGTCAGGTAAAGTTAGCATAACTACATGCTTATTATTACAAGGAAAGTGGCATTGTTTTGGCCTACATATTCTTGGCCTCAAAAAAGCAAAAGCTTTTTACAGGAATCTTGCACTTCTCCTGTTGTTGAGCTCTTCTTAACCACAGCCCTTCTCAGTCTTGATATATCCATGGTACCAGAAAGGCTCTAACAAAACACAGCATGCTTTTGGCTATTATGTGCCTCAGAGTCAAAACATCTGCTTCTTTGCATCTGAGAGTTCAAGGTTTTTTTCCAAATTTGAACCACCTTTTAGAGATTCTTCTTTTCCTCTATATTGCTAGTGTGTCTCTATGGAAATGACCAGAAACTAACTAACCTGCAAGCATCTTCATAACATGATCTAGTGTCTTACCTGCACAATATAACTACAGAAATGGCATGAAGCTGTGTCAGGAGGTTTAGGTTAGATATCACAGAAAGCTTTTTCACCCAGAGGGTGGTTGGGCACTGGAACAGGCTCCCCAGGGAATTGGTCACAGCACGAAGCCTGACAGAGTAGTAGAAGCATTTGGACAATGCTCTCAGGCACATGGTGTGACTATTGGGATGTCCTGTGTAGGGCCAGGAGCTGGACTCGATGATCGTGATGGGTCCCTTCCAATTCAGCATATTCTATGATTCTGTGAAATACAGACGCCGCCACACCGAATCACTTTCGATTGAGACATTTTCAGGAGCGGCGGCGCACCAACAGCACGCTTTCAATCGGGAAGCGAGAGCTGCTTCCCCCTGCCCGCACCCGGGCGGGCAATGCCACGCTGCGATTCCAGCGGGACCCAACCCCCCGGCCGCTGGAGAAGCACCGCGGCCGGCCCAGGACCCTGAGGCCCGGGAGCTCCTTACCACGGCCCCGCCGCCGGCCCCGCCTGGCATGGGCCCGTTCTGCGTGGAGTCCGCCATGGCCGCACCTGCGGGGAGAGAAGCGCCTCAGTTTGAGGGACACGGGCGACCGCCGCCTCCCGACCCCCGCTCCCGGCCCGGCCGCGACCCACCGCAAGCGCCACACTGGGCACGGCACACGCTCCGCCGGATCCTGCCCCCGGATGCGGCAGGACGACACTTCCCGTGGACTGCGGGGCTGCCGGGCAATGTAGGCGGCGGATGGGATGCTCCCGGCGGCGGCACGGGGACGTCCCGGCGGTTCCCGGCTGTTCTGGGACTGCGGCTGCCAGGGCGAGCCCGCTGGGGAGGACACTGGCCCCTTCCCGCTCTGTCCACAGCAGCCCCGACAGCTGGCGCTCAGCTCGGTCTGTAGGGTTTGTAACAGGGGCACTTTTGCGGGGTGACAGCAACAATGTTAATGCTCGCTTCGGCCCCAGGTTGGGGAGTGTTTGCTCACGGAGGGCCAGCTTGGCTTTCCAGAGCTGTGCTGTGCATCAGCAGTGTAAACGGGAATCGTAAGATCACAGGACCCAGGCACGGCTCTCCGCAGTTCTCTGTGACATCGGTGATGTCATGCAAAACCATCAAGGCTGTGTCCGTGTGTTTTAGTGTCGTTGGTTCTCCATAATGTAGAATGCGGGGGGGGGGGGGAGGAGGGACGGGAAGCCTCTTTAAAGCCACGTGTGCCTAAAGATTCGTACTGTCAGTGATATTGCATTAAAATGCAACAGTTTTGTAACAAGTTTCCGAAATGTTTGGTCGGTAATCGCTAAACCGTAAAGCTAAGGAGCTTCAATCAAGTACAGGTATATCCGCGACATTGACAGGACGACCAAGCTGGAAAGCATAAAGCAGAAGCCTTCTGCTCACTCAGCAGCATGTAGCATATGTAATTTGCAAGGTCTTGGAAAGGGTTTATCCTCCCTTCATTAATCTAACCCTTGTCTTTAATATTGATTTTTTTTTTAATTATTTGTGCGGGATAGCTGTGTGAACATGTTTCTGTTCTCAGCTGGAAGTCTGTAACTCATCTAAAGTGGTATCAAAGTAAATGAAAACGAAGTGCAGGCCTCAAGACCAACACTTTGAGTTTTAGCTCCTATAGCCTCATGCAGTTTGTACTTCTAACTTTCTCTCAAGGATGTGCAGCAGGTTCCCCCTTCTGGCAGCATGGGTTCTGGGATGGCAAGCTGTCTGCTCCAGTTTCTCTAATCGTTCCCAGATGCTTTCAATTACTCTTCAGCGGCAAGAAAGTCATGTTCTTGGGACCAAGGATCTTGGAATCAACATCTGCAATCTGCCTTATTTCTGGCTCATGATGATTAAACTTGAAGATTGATTTGAAGACACTCAGGAATAATGTGTAATGAAGTTATGTTGACAGGAAAGGAGCAAAAGAGAAGTCAGCTGATAGGGATTCTAATACCACAACAATTACAAGTAATCTAAGACTTTAGGCTAATTAACACTTTTTAAATTGAAGATGCAGAACCTTATTTTCCACTTCTTTCCCAACTATTCATCTCTCACTAAAGTGACTGAGAAGTAGGCATAGGAACTACCTGCTGTTTGGGGATTTTTTTTCTACAGGTGGAGGAGACTAGTAAACAGCACTAGAGAATTAGGACTTTCAGTGTATCTGCTGGGCATTCTCAGGTGTGTAATAAAAAAACTGACAAACATTTATGCTAAACCAAAATAAAGGCTTTGAATATAGCCTTTGAATATAGTAAATTTAAGTTAAACCAATACTAGTTTATTTTATTGGAAAATGAAATATTAATGCATCCAGGAGACTTATTTAGATGCAACTGAAATGTGGAAATACATGTTGAAGACCACCAGATGTTTAATTGAAATATCACAAGGGGAAAAAACCTAGTCAGTCTTCAAGATTATTTGTATTTCCTAAATGGAGCTAGGATGACAAATCCATGTCTTTTGCAGGAATGCTTATTTATTTCTTGGTATTTATAATTTAGGAAGTACTTAATGCATACACATGCAAAGCATTAATTTCTAGAATCTGGCTTGCTGTCTATTTGTCATAACACCAAAAGTAGTCTTTCACATATTTGCCTTAATTTCATTTAAATAGAATGCTAAGCCATTGTTTATTCCCAAAAGTTAATGGCTTGAGAAGTGTCCTATTTTGGAATACTTGATAAGCAATATCCCTCTTCAACCTTTGTAACCAGTCCCCCTTTTCTTCAGGCGGATGTTTCTTTTCCTGACTTTTCCCTTCACTTTTGTTCTGCGCTTGTTGTTGCTTTTCGTTTGATATAGTCTCTCCTGTTGAGCAACTCGAACCACGCTACTGTTTACTTAACTTGAGAAAAGACATTAAATTATGTCTTAAGAAATCAAGAGTCAGCTATTGGCTTCTCCATTTCCCAGTTCTCCTCTGCTATGATATTGCTGATTGAGCAGAGAGGAGAAGCAGAAATTGATCTGTTTGTTGTTAATGCTTTTGTTTCCAACAGTTGTAAGGGTTCCGTAGTTCTTCCATAGTTCTATAAGTTCTTCCATATCATCAAGGCACCAGTTTTCTTTCACTGGTGATTGATAGTTCAGGTATTTAGAAGAGTATTCCTGTAATTGCTGAGGACTTGTCTCCCTCATTAGCAATATAGTCCCATTTCTCCTCTGTGGCAGTGCAGCACATGGACACAGCTGAAATTGTAACTAACACACCTCTGTTTTCCTCCAGTAAATTTATGAGTCTATCAGAGAATTACTCACAGTAATGATACCTGGGATCAGCTTGCTTTTAATTTAAAAAATTATGGATGCAAAGCAATGTATTTTGACCTTTTATGCCCAGATGTATACACCTACTTCCACTAACCAGCTTGATGTTGCAGGGGAAAAAAAAAATAAAACACTTGCAAAATAATTAATATATTTTAGAATTATATGGAAGAAATTATGCAGTGCTTTGCATTTGTTTATCAGGGCTGAGACTGAGAGGCTGAGACTCTCCAGGGGCAGTGCAAGGTTACTAATGCTCACAACATCACCATTAGTTAGATGTTCAATGAAGACTTTAGGTTAAAAAGGTTAGTAATTTGCTTGTAGGCACATGAGCAGTACCGTAATTGGGCTAGAAGTGGAATATACAACTCCACAGTCCCCATCGCCAATTTTTTTCTTAGTCACTATGTGTTTTCAGATGAAATCATATGCAAAACTTTATATGTCATTTGAAGCTAGTTTGAATATCCGAAGAAGACTCTTCTGGTGTTTCAAATTAATTACTGAGAACCTCATTACAGACATTATGGAAATATTTTATAAACAATAATTCTTATTCAATGCATTCAGCCATAATAAATATTTTATAGAACCAGTATTTTGCATTACATGTTGTTTTAAATTTTAACTTTTTATTGTCTTTTTAGTAGCATCACCGTCAGAAATATGCTGTCTTTTGTGGTCTCCAGTGGCCTCAATTCTTAACCATCTTAACAGAAGCTGATGTAGCATTGTTTAGGTGGTGTTTATCACCTTACAACAACGGGCATTGAGGTTCAGATAATGATTTATCTATTTTGTCCCTCTTGATTTGAAAGAAGATACTGTTGCTAACATCTGTATACATGTTTTCATTTATTTCGAATAAATGAGAGAACATTCCTCCAAGGTCGATAGGATTGCAGTTCCTCACAGCCAAACTAGCTCCATTATTTGTATATCAGTAGTGTATAGCATAAAGCACAAAGCTAAAATAAGGTTTTATGCAAAGTTGTAATGAACAATTTGGTTCTTGTTTGTGGTTATCTCAAGCTGGCTGTCCGAATCTCAAGAAAAAATAAAGGACGTTGGGTAAATGCCTGTTACATTTTTCAGAAAAAGAAACAGAAGTCTTCTGTCTCTGTACCAGATTGCTTTGTGATTTTTGCTCAATGGTCTGTAGCAATATCAAATATGTTCTTCTTCCTTGTCCCTCGCAGCTGGAGTTTCCATTTACTCACCCTTCCTGGAAGCAATACCCTTTTAATCACCAAGTGTGTGCCAAAGCAGAGAAAGAGAGAAGCCAAAACCTTTTGGAAGATGTGCAGAATAGATGTGCAAAATTCCTTGCAGTTGCTTTCTGTGTCAGCATTTTCATAGCTCTCAACATTTTGTTATATTCCTGTATTACTAAGATAAATGAAACATAAGCTGCAAGTGTAAGCTTAAGACTGTACAAAGAAATATGATAAATTTATATATATCTTTTGTAAGATTGGGAGTATGACACAAGGATTGGCATGTGATTGAATCGGTCTTGCCAGTGTATTTTATTTGCAATGTCCAACTCACTAAGGACATGAAAAATATTGCAAATTTAGGAATGGAAAGAAAGATGGGCAAGTGTTATTTTAGTAAATTATTTAAAGGAAGCTTAGGAAGATTTTAGAAATCTGGAGCAAGAGACTATATCAACAAATGGAGGAACATGGTGAATTATGGATGTAAACTTGTGACTACCTGTAGTGTTTGATTATAAGTACCACAGCAGGAAAGATTGATAAGCATCCTCTTGCAAGCTCAGAGAAGTATCTGAAAGTGTATTGATCAATGCTGAACTCTTTACTGAGTTGTTGGTAAATGGCTCCCTTATCTCATACTAATCACAGGCTATACTGAGGGAATAAAAAGAGGACAAGGAACAAAACTCCAGAGCTTTCCAAAGGAGAAGTTCTGTTATGATGCAGGGAATGTTAGCTCTATGTTTGCATAAAAACATGAAAAGAAATATTTGCTTTTTAAAATAATATCTGTTATATCATCTGAGCAAAAACCCCACAAAGATGGATGACAGTAACACTCAACATGGTTCTGCACTAATAGCTAAAAACTAATAACACTATAATCTGTGGTCCAGTGTTTTTTAGCACAGATACTATTATTATATTTCTGCCACTCATTCAGTGCAAGCAGAAGTTTGCAGATAAGTAATTAGGGTTGGAAGCTGTTTAAGCTGAATAAAATGAACTACCAAGAAATTTTCTGCTTTTATCTGAAGGTGACACAGGGCAAAGACTTCTGCCAACGTAAGTGTACCATTCAGTATGTCAGGAATCCCACCTCGATCACATACAAAACTTTTCTTGCACAGTTACAACAAACATGAGGGCTGCACATTTTTTGTTCTCTGCACCCCCAGAGCTCCCTCTGGTTTCATCCACAGGCATCTTTAGCCTTTGTCCATGTCTGTCAGTATCATCTGCACTCTTACAATCATTATAAAGGTACCTAGGCAGTAAATGTTTTATAGAAGACCTTATTAAAATTAGAGGAGGCTTCAGAGAAAAGCTTTTCATTTTGAACAGTTTTGCACAATCCAGTATGTCTTCCTAACTAGGGTAGGTTCGAGTGATCTTATTTATTATATTGTATAAGTTGTTCTTGATCTTTTAATACATAGTCCAGATGCTGAATTTTCAAAAGCAATTTGCAGTACAGAACTCTGAAATCAGTAACTTTCTGCATTTTTTGTGAGATCCCATTCAGAAATTCAGCCACAGAAAACTGGATGAGTGATTACAGGATAGGAATATGTGGAAGTATTTTTAATGTTTGATATTTGATATTAACTTTTTAAGCACAGTGGACTGACATGTCCACTGACATGTTCCACAGACATTTTATTGCTTATTTTGGAGTGGGAATAGTTTTATTCATTGGTGTTTATTCCTTAACAGTATATCCAATTTCAGACAGCAGGCAAGTGCTCCAAGGGTTCAAGTTCATAAAATTAATCCCTCTTATTCTTTTTTTTTCTATATAACTAGATTAATTCAGATTTATAAATATTGCCAAAAAAAAGTATATGCATATTTTATCCAACTGTTTTTTGTGGCCTCTGATAATCAATAAGAGCTTAAAACTTAGAAAAGATAAAGAATACATGGAAAGACAATCAAGTTAATTAGATTTGTCCTTCCAAACCATCATAGGTAAAGTCCATCCATTTAAATCTGATTTAATCATGTGCTGAAGTGGCATGAAATTGAATGAAATCAAGCTGTCTATATCCCAGAAAATGTTCTTGCTGGGATATAAAAATCCTCAAGGATACCAATTAGTCAGATAGTCTACTGATAAGTCAAGGATAAGTTTTTCACTCAGTCATAATGCTTCCGATTTATGTATTGACCACAGTGACTGGCAATGGAAGAGTATTATTTGAGGCTTATAACTTTTTATTGAATTCAGCCTTCCGTGCTGTGACTTTTGCAGAAATGACCTATCTTACCTTTTTTCTTTAGCCATCTTTGCTTGCTTATCTATAGCCAGTATACTTTATTAGGAAGGTAAAATACAGGGGGGGTTAGAGTTCAAGAGTGTGGCGGTCTGGACAACCAGCGGAAAATTGGAACTCCAAATATGTCACTCCCCTTCTGTTTTTCCTTCTCCCACCCCTCTCAATAATGAAGGGGCAATACGGAGAAACATAAGAAAAATAACCATTTACTAAAGTAAATAGCAGTAACTAAAACGATACAGAGGAAATCCCCCTCTGCAACCCAGGCAAGGAGAGTTCTACCTCCTGTGCTTAAAGAGACTGTCCATCAAAAATTACATTTAGGATAGAATACATAACTGGTCACACCCACCTAATGCTAACCCACCTCCTTTCCCTGTACCTAGGACAAAGAGATATCTTGCATTTGCACGAAGGGAATTATAAGCAGTCTAGAGAGCATCACAAGTAAAATGAAGAGTTAAACACCGAGTGAGATTATTGACATGGATGACAGCTTCTGAAATATAATAGTCAATTTATTAACAATCAGTGACTTGGGAAGAGAAACACAGGGAATTCAGGGCATGTCTGTAGAAAACTGTCTGTACTCACTCTTAGCTTCTTCACTAAGGTTTAATGAGACTTTTGGTGAGTTATACCATTTATTCTTGCTGACAGAAATTTTGTTGAGTTGCACAGTTCTGAAAAGTAAGCAAATTTTCCTAATCAAAAGATAAAACTGAGATCAAAAAAAAAGTCTGCTTTAAGATTGCTTTATGTTACAGTTTGTCCAAGATCACTAGAAATAGTTCTTGTCTGGTACCTTTGTTTTAATCTTCATGGATGACATTAGAGAGAGGGTTTTTATTAAAAACCCTGAAATATTAAAAAGTCTGGCAAGCTTGTCACATGATCTCTTTAGAATCTTTTGTCTGCAGCAAGAAACAAAGTGTAAAATAATTCTGACAGGAGCTGGAAAAAAGTTCTGAAAGTTCACCTGATGCAACAAAATTCAAGGGCTGCACAGGTACTATCCCAAGAAAGATGCCTAAAGGAAAAGATACCCAGCCAGTGCTCGGTATAATTCCTATGATAGCCCACTGGGGAGGCAGAAGCTATAAGAAAATATCCTCAGCAGGTAAATTCATAATGCGTGAGGTAGGAAACATGGGAAGATGTTCGGCCACTGAGAGTCATTCATGCTAAGGATTTTAAACAGCATTCTAGGATTAAGACTGGCAGGATGGAAGAAAAATAAAATGGGAAAAGAAGATGAAAAGGGAAAAGTTTAATTTCCATACTAAATTTAGCAGAAGTAAAAAAAAGGTATTAAAATAGCTGAAGGAACGAACATCAGTCTGGAGAAGGTTGAAGTGTAAGAAGAAAGCTGCAGCAAGTAGTGGGCTTAGTGACAGGTATGTGCTTGAGAAATGGAAGATGAACAACAGGAAATGAGAGAACAGTTTACATGCAGGACTGTTCCTGTTCCTTGTGCTCATAATTGCATAATGGCATAGGTTATAGTATGGAGATAGGGTTATCTGCAGTGTTGCAGATAGGAGGACTTTTCAAGACAAATAGACTGCATTATCATGCAGAAAAAGCCCTGGATGAGTTCAAGAGCTTGAGAAATAGAAATAAGATCAAATGCAGTAGTACTAAATGCAATATCATAACCATGTGGTCCCAAGAAAACTTCTAGGGGAAAGAAACATCGTATGGAATTGACCTAGGTGAAGCTGAAGGTACAGGACTACCAAAGAATGGATATGAGCTGCCAAAATGATAGGAAATCTGAGGGATAAAATGATCCTCTGAGCAATAAGAATAAATTGGGAAATATTATTGCCATTGTATGTGGCACAGATGAGACCTCATCTAGAACACACTGCACATTTCTGGTGACATAAGTTAAAAAATAAGGAAATGTCACAGATTATAGTGATTTGTATTCTTCAGAGGAATAGCAGATTTTATGAGAGAACAGTAGAATTAGTTGGTAACAACAGGACAGCCATGTAATTACTTAGGCTGTAGTTGATATAAAAATAAATGGGTATAAATTGCTAATCACTTATTTAGAGTAGAAAAAAGAAGAATCTCTAAGAGCCTTCCACTGTAAACAGTGGAATTAAAATATCTAAATACTTTTAAAATGGAGTTTAGTAAGTTTATACAGCTTGACAAAGCAGAGGATTCCTTTTGTGATTTTAAGAAGAAAATCTCTTTGAACCACCCTTGAAGCTTTGAGTTACTTGTATCGGTTCACTGGGAGATGTGAAACAACATCAGGCATGATTGTGTCTACTGTTTTGTTTTAAAGGACACTATGAACATATCCACAAAATGAAGAAGATTAGTGTATCCTTTGAGATCTGCTGCTGATAGTGCTGATACACTAAAATTCTAAATAATTATTAATTTTTCATAGCAAAATGTTTCTCCATCATGTGTATTTATTCTTCTGTGATTTTTTTTAAATAATCTCAAATCAAAAGAGTACTCTGCAATTTCTGAGGGAAAACAATTTTGCAAGATGTCTGGAAAAAGGCATCTCTGAGGTTCTGTGACTGAGATGCCATAGGGGATCCCACAGTCAAATGATTAAAATTTCCCTAAAAGTTTGCCCCCCACTTTCAAACTGGAAATAAAATTCTCTTAGAAGTGTCTAGAAAACAAGTCACAATGCAGGAGAAAAGTCTGTCAGTGCTGTATCCAAACACAAGGTAAAATTTTGTCTGAATTTCCTAACACCAATCTCTCAAACTTCATTGACTTTCCAATCTTTGGCCTCCTTTTGGACCTATTTTGGGCATGCCAAGCAAGTCAGAACCTTGTTCATCAGCCATAATCCCAAGATCAGCTTTTCCTCAGTAGCTTACTGATGCTTTGGACCTAAGGTACAGCTGAGGTAACAGCCCAAAATATGAACAGAGAGGAGGTCACAGAGCTTTTCCTCTTGAAATCCACAACAAAAATGAGGCACTTTTGGCCAGGACAAAAAACATTCACTAAATTAACATGGAGGAGTTGTCCATGACCCAGATAAGGATTCTGTCAGAACTGTAGAGTTCAGAACATGGTAACCATAAAAGCTCTGACTACCCAAATGAACCACAGTCCTTTGTAAAACCTGCTTCCTCAAGAACATTTTCCAGTGCATCTGCTTTTATGAAGACCTCCACGCAAAAGAAACAACTAAAGATGTTTTTCCAGAACAAATATGCATATCGATAACATTTGCTAGTCTAATGATCTTACTATCCCATACTGTCAGTGTACACTTCTAACTATTAGATATGATCTGTTTTTTACACCAGTTTTAAACCAGAGCTGCCTCAGGCATAAACCATAAAGTTTAATTATTTTCACCTCTGAGCATTAGCTCATGCAATAAAATAAAACTTGTGTCAATCAAATATTTATTAGTCTTGGCTTTACATAATGCTTATCAGAGGATTTATCACTTAGCAAAAGAACTGGAAAAGAATAATTCAAAAGTAAAACATGGATGAGCCAAAAAAGAATATAAGGAAGAAAATGTAGATCTAACTGTGACTTCTGATTAATGTTAAATTTATAAGTGAATCAGCAGATTTCTATTCCTAAAGTATTTTTACCTCTAATTAGAAAATAATTTAAAA